AAAAAAAAGCATTATATATAATGAGAAAACCTGTTTAAGGCCATTTTACACACATTTTGCATAAAGAAAAATGGTATATCAAATCATTCTGTTATAACATAGTTGAGAATTATCTTTATACAAAGTTTGGTAAAAAAAAAAATCCTGAAAACTAAAAATGTATTGGTGATTTTAAAAACATTTATTGTTTTTGCCTATGCATGTTCATTCATGTCTTTTTATTTTAATTTTTTTTAATTGAGTCCCGATGTCCTCGACCTCTACCAAGGACGTAGTATAACTTACGAATGAAATATCATTTTTATTTTTACATTTTTTAATGCTCTAAACAATGTAATGACATGAAAAAATGAATTTTTTTTCCTAAAATGTTTTGCAGGGTCTCAAGAGGTTACATATTTTCAGTGTAAATATATTTGTATTGTACAAAATATATTTTAAAAATACAATTTGGTATTAACCTCATGTAGGCTATTTTAAGATTAGAAATGTACTTTCTTGCCTGCCCTTATATATATATATATATATGGATGCTATAGTGAATATTTGCATTTCATTTGCCTATCATCAGGTTGGTTCTTTTTTAGGTGTTCCTAGCATAGCTGGTGCGAAGGGGAAGCGTGGAGACAATGGAGAAAGGGGTCCACCTGGCAAAATGGGGCCCCAAGGCTTCCCAGGGCCACTGGGTTTAAAAGGTCAGAAGGGAGAACTTGGTTTGTCAGGACCACAGGGCATCAAAGGGGACGTGGGTCCTATAGGCCCTGTGGGACCACAAGGAGACATTGGCTATAAGGGAGACAAGGGCATACAGGGTCCTTTGGGGCCCCCAGGGCGATCAGGCCCAAAAGGTGAAATCGGCCATCCAGGTATCAAAGGCAGCAGTGGTGTTCGTGGTGAGAAAGGGTCAAAAGGGGACATTGGGGAGCAAGGCCCAAAGGGGGACATGCCTGAGATACCAAAAAGCGCCTTCTCAGCCAGACTGAGCGAAAGCTCCAAATTACCTGCCGCTAACACTCCAGTTCTCTTTGATAAAATCATCTATAACCGTCAGGGACACTATGATCCTCAGACTGGCCGCTTTACTTGTGCCATCAGAGGAGTGTATTATTTCACCTACCATATCACTGTGTACTCTCGCAATGTAAAAGTGGTCCTGATGAAGAATAGTCAGCGAGTGATCTACACTATGGACAGCTATCAAGGTGGTGAGGACCAAGCTTCTGGAGGAGCAGTCCTAGAACTGGAAGCCGGAGACAAAGTGTGGTTGCAAGTGGCTGATAAACTGCTATTTAATGGGTTATATGCAGATGAAGATGACGACACTGTTTTTTCTGGCTTTCTCCTCTTTGCAACCTAAAGACACTGCTACGAATGGGAATTTAGTGGTACAAAACCATGCTTTGAAAGAAGATATTTTAAATTCACTAAATGGTGTCATCATAATATTCTGTAAAAATGTAAATCATTATGTTTCTTATATTCATTTGTGAGAAATATGATGTGTCTCTGTGTATTTTTGCTAAAGCAAACATCATAACATTCCTGTAGCATAAAAAAAGGCATGAAACAGAAGCTGAGATTGTTTTCCTCCCATATAGAGTGCTGCAGGGATAATGCATTTTTTGTAAGCAAAAACACAAAAACAAGTTAGTATTTTAGCACATATGGTTCAATCATCCTGAAGTCAACGGTGGGTTTTAGGTTAAATGCCTAAAATAAGGTCTGTGCATGATTAATGCCCCCTTGTGATTTTTTATAAAGCTTTTCCTTGTCTTGAAAAAGGCGGTTGCTAACAAGTGGCTAAATGTGACTACAGAAATATTAAATGTCCTCAACAGGTAAATTCATTTACTTATTTCTCTGCTTTCACAGCTTCATTGTTTATAATCATGCTCTTGTGAACTGTTCAAACTTTCAGGGAAAATTATTAAAGACTGATGAGTTGTCAGAAGCTTAATGATGGTGACATTGTGATTGTTGTGTAGTTCATTTATAGCCTATGTTTAGCTTTTTACTTCTGGTGATGGTATTTAGACTTAAAGAATTGTGTTCTTTTGTGAAAAGTATCATGATGAACATTACATGCAAGAATCATAATTTCATAAACCTGTTGGGTTTTTGTTGAGGGAACCAGAGTGATGCTAACTTCCAGTTGGCCAACAAAAGAAAAGAGAGAGAGAGAGAGAGAGAGATGTTGCGAGGAGGAGATGACGTTAATGTTTTGAATTTAAGATTTTTGGATTAAAGAGGTTACATGAATTAAAAAACAATTATCATGAAAAAAACCCTGCTAAAACCAGCCTAAGCTGGTTGGCTGGTCTTAGCTGCAGGGTTAAGATGGAAGTAGCTGGTTTTAGCTGGTCTCCCAGCCTGGCCAGCTAAGGAAGTGGCCAAAACACCTCTAAAACGAGCCTGCTGGTTTTAGGATCTTAGGCTGGTTTTAGCTGGGTTTTTTTTTTTTTCAGCAACGATAGTCATTTATAGCCTAATAAACATTGCAACATTCCATTAAAAAAATAAGAATCGTCCCTTTTGATTTCATGGAGACCTGGTAGCAACACTAATATTACCTTAAGGTCATGGGTTTTATTTCCTAGGGGATCCATTTGGATAAGCATCTGCCAAATGTTTAAATGTAATTTACAGGCTCATAGGCTACATGGAGAATTTGAATACACCCTTTGGGAAAAAAATATTTGTTCTCATCCCACACTGTGTTAAAGAAATTAAGCATGCCTAAAATAATCTTGGATGTACAATGGAGGCCACAAATTAATGGGGCCAAGCAAGAACTAGCAAACACCTAGCACTGAGCTAAAAACACTCGGCACATTTTAGCAACCGCAAAGCAACCCTCTGGCATCCACCCTTGCGAGTTCTGCACAGACAAGTAGCACTAACATTTTCTTTAGTATTTATTCATATTTATTGGGCAGAACAGAAATTAAAGCATAATATAGTGGTTTTGAGGGCTGAAACGTGTCTAGTCAAGGCATATCTTGAGGAGAATGTTTTCTAAATGCAGAAATACTGTGATATCACCATATTTATATAGCAGTCATAGGGTTTGTGATTTTGGCAGGCATCCCGTAGGCAGACTACAACCCGCGTATCACAGTCGACTTGTTTCTCCGCCCCGAAGCAATCAGCGCAACAAGTGCACTGATGCTGTCCAAAACCGTCGCGACGACGCCTGAAGTCATGGCTCTCTGGCTGAGCATTTCCACCGCAGAGAACCAACTTTAAACTTTTACCCGAAGCCGTTCTGACCCGCAAATCTGCCTCGTGTCCGGTTGATTTCGGTCATGTGCCGTTAAATCGCCTGAGGGAGTGCTTGAGCCACACATTTCATGGAAAGTTTTCCGTCCCGATAGATCTGTGTCTACGGGGTGTTTGTTCTTGTGAATACACTCACCGGACGAAATATTGGCTGACTGTTCACTGTGTACTTTCGCATTCACCATTAGGCAGTTTAACGATTTCCGCGAAGTTAATATGCGTAATTCGTCGGACATTGGACCGTCGGAGGAGTTAGTCGCGGCTGACGAGTCGATCGAAGCCGCACCAGTGTTGTGACACCGGGCCAAGATAGCACTCAAGAAGTATGATAAAGGTAAGATTCGGCGTGTAAGTTACAAATAATTGTCCCATTTATTTAGAAAGGCCATACTGATTTTTGTCAATTATGAATTTGAGAATATATGTCAAATGAATTAAAAATGCGTTCAAAAGTTTGGCAGCTCTTTATCATCTTGCCAGTTCCGTTGGGTTCAAAAGAAGCTGGAGGGAAGGTTATGGAGAGACTGAGTTAATTAAACTCACAAATAAACTACAGCTTTTTTTTCTTCCGTGGAAAAAACCCAACTCCGTAATCGCCTTCATTCATACCCGCAGCTCGCTCTTAAAGCGGAAATATTTGTCTTGATCTGTCCTGCTTGAAAGGTTTTCTCTGTGGTGGAACCAAAGGGGATTTTTCAGCTATGTTAAAAAACAAACATTTCACTCAGTGTTTTATAAATCTCTGCTTCTCAACAAGGGGGCTGAGGCCCACTAGGGGTGCCCAGCAACCCTGCTGAAAAAAAAAAAACTAAGGTTAAACCAGGCTACAATGGTTTGCTGTTCTGAACTGGTTTAGCTGGTCTCTTGGTCTGGCCAAGCTGATGGGGCAGCTTCTTAAAACCTCTCTAAAACCAGATTGACCATAGACCAGCATACTGTTTTTTGGTTGATTTAAACTTAGGCTATTTATTTTAGCAGAAACCACCAAGTGTGCTGTGAAGTAACTATATTTATTTATTTATATCAAAGTATAAAAATGTTTATGTATACCTTGCAAACGGACATAATGTATTTTATTTTAATATTTGTTCAGAGTAAGTGTGATTTCAAGTTTTTCTAGTTATCTCTAACATTCCTCTGTATGTCCACACATGTAGCGGAATGACAATAAAGCTCGACTTGACTTAACTAAAATATTTTATCAAATGAAAACTTATGATATCAGATATTAATTATAATTCTAGTCTAATGATTAAAATCCGTATCCAGTAATCACTAACAACTACAAAAGTAATGGAAATTAATAGATCAGAAAGTGTGGGAAGTACATACAAGTCGTGAGACTAAAGGAATTACAAAAATAATCAAGGTTAATTATGTTAATCGTTTGAAAACAAGCAGCTTTGTCGTCATTACAGCCAAAGCACCTGAATTAAAGTATCTTAGCCTACATGGGGGGCCTTCAAACATTGTATTTGACAGTGGGGGTCCGTGAAATCCACTGTGAGAAGCACTGTTGTAAATGCATTCAAGATTTTTGTAAAATAGATTACATTTAGGTTTGTAAGCGACTCATTTCTCATGCTTTAATATATTGTCTAAAGTCCGCCACATGTTTGTCATATGCAAGCCATGTGCTGCTGTTGACATCATAATTTATGACAAATAAATTAAACATGCCAGAAAAGTAAAGTAATGTAATTCATGGTAACAGCTGGTTAAAAGTACTATGCCCAGCACTTTCGCTTCTCCAAACAATTGCCTTGCTTTAAAACATTAACACTGGATTGCGCTGGAATGCACTCCTCCACACATAATGAGAGTGTTTGCGTTATCACAAGACACGCACAAGGAACTTTAATGCCTCACTGGGTGCCTCCTAATCTATGGCTGCCATAAATTAAGGCTAAATCTCACTTCCCACCTTCTTCTCAACGATCTTTCTCCCTGATAGCGCACAAATGCATTGATGTGTTAAGTATTTAATGGTGTTTTGTCAGTAGAAAGCATTTGTTTGAAAGTGCTTATGTTTGTAAGTCATATTATGCCACAACCAATTCTTTGAATTCTATGCATGCATACAACTTAAAGGGATAGTTCACACAAAAAAAATCTGTCATTATTTACTCACTGTAATTTCTTTTCAAATCTGTGCGACTGACTTTCTTCTGTGGAAAACAATACATTTTTGAGAAATATTCTGGTTGCTGTTTTTAATATGCAGTAAAAGTGAATGAGAACTGGCTCCAAAAGGACAAAAAACACCACCATAAACGTATCGTAAAAGTGGTTCATATGACTTTTGCGCTATACAAGTTTTCTGAAATCATACTTTTGTGTGAGAAACGGACAGAAATGAAAAGATTGACATCTGTTCTAGCTCTCCTTGATGAGTTCATGAGAAAAGCAGCGAGACTTTGAACTAGACTTGTGCCGGTATTCGGTAATGCGATATATCACGGTAATGAATATGCATGATATTGTTATCGTGGGCTCTTCTAAATACCGTGAAAAAAAGTTATTAAACCTGTTATACTGTATTATGACAGCACTTTTTTAAAACTAAATTTCAATACCGTGATAATACCATATACCGTGATAAAAGCAGTAGCAATTAATCGCAACATGAAAATTTGATACCGGCATATCCCTACTTTGAACAAATCATTCTTTTGAGTCAGATCTTTTTAATCACAGTTAATGGAGTTCTCAAAACCTGTCTGAATGAATCGTTCACAAACCGGACTGATCCCATTCTCGAGTTCAGCTTACTGATTCAACAGTCCAGTCGCTATGGTTCACCGCCCACTAAAGGTGAAGATTATCACTAAATAACTTCAAGTCTGTTTCTCACACAAAGCTATTGTATGACTTGAAAAACCTGTAAAAAGGTGGACACAAGTAATTTGAACAACTTTTATGATGCTTTTGCAACCTTTTTGAAGTTTAAAATTGTAAGTCTCTGAATATAAGACGACCGCGTATGTATTTCCAAGAAAAAAATATTGTCTTATATTCGGGACAATACGGTAATTGTAATTGCATTAAAAAGAGTTACTACGTCGCATTTATTCATAT